GTGTATATATACTATGCATAATGTATGTGTGGGTGCGTGTGTGTGTCGCTACTACTCGCTACTACTATTAGACAAATACTTGGTGATAAACAAGACATTTTGGACCACACCAAACAATTCAAGGGAAAAGTGTATAAGCCAACCACTGATATCATACCGAAGGGAGCTGGAGGACCAGCTAGTAAATGTAAACACAAAAAGCTGAGGAGTGGTCAGACAAGGGGCAGGCAGGAGTGCGGAACAAACTGCTTCATCTATCGGCGTATTTGTCAGTAGCATGATCGAATAAAGGGAGCTAAAATGCTCTGTACGCGTGATAAGCGATTGGTATGAAACGAGCAACGCTAGATAACGTGTTCATTGCAATGTGTGTGAATGTGTATGCCATATCGGAGAGACAGGGGAACTGAACAAACCGGTTCGGCAAACCATTATTAACCACCAAGACAAGAAACATCGTTAGATTACACAGAGTCCAACCATTTAACGCACTGGACCACTTGATTAATGGTGTGAGATTTGTTGGCATGGAGAGGATGTGGAGCAAATCCTTAATCTACAGAGAGAGAAGTGAGAGAGAGAGAGAGAGAGAGAGAGAGAGAGAGAGAGAGAGAGAGAGAGGAGAGAGAGAGAGAGAGAGAGAGAGAGAGAGAGAGGAGAGAGAGAGAGAGGGGAGAGAGACGTATTTGTGTATATATATATTATATATAATATATATATATATCTATATATATATATGTATATATCTCAGCAATATGTATATATATATATATATATATATATATATATACACGAGCATCTTGCGTATATTATATATATATATATAATTATATATATATATATAAGATATATATTACATGAGCAGCGAGCATCATATATATATATAACATTATATATATATATATATATATATATATATATATATGTATATATATATATATATATATATACATGAGCATGGGCGTGTATGCGTGCGCACGTGCGTATGGTGTGTGTGTGTTCCACGACACTTTTTGACCAGATTCTCCGCTGGATGCGACGCGTCGCCATGGCACCTGACAGTCTCCTTCGGCTGTCCTGCAATCCGCCATACCTCCATTGCAACATTAGGTGAGACGTGTTCAATTGAAACGGGAAAGATCAGTTTTCCTTTTCCAGGGCTGGGGCTGCACATGTTCCTCACAGACGGGCGGTCCCCCGTCGGCCGCCAGCTGGCCTTTTTTCCATCGGCTATGCAGAAGAAGCACGTCCTGCGCAAGATCGGCGCCATCAGCTGACGATTTGGCGGACACGGAGAGCGACATCATTTTTCCATGCGTTGCCATAGCTGTAATGCAAATGAGTTTTTACGGAATGCGTCTCTCGTCTTCCCCCCTTCCCCCCAGGTAGCATTCTCTTGTCCCAGCCTGGACCCAAATTTATACCACGGAATTGAATCGCATCGGTTGCTTGACTGCGGGAACGACATGCGCTTTGCCACGCGGAGTACTTACACTTTCCCTCGCATCACTAGATGGCAGGGCTGCATTATGAGTCGCGTTAATCGCGCTTGCTTTCATACCGAGCGCGGTTGGCGGCGCTGCGGCGGGCGAGGGACACATCAAGGCTTTGTTCGGCCGTTGGCAGATGGCGCGTTGGAGGCAATCGATGACCCAGCCCGGCCCGGCGGCGGTGAATTTGGGCCAGTCGGCGCGAGCCATGCTTGTGGTGTGGGTGGTCGCGGCCGTGCTCGGCCGAGCGGCCGGCGCGCCGGCGGGCCTGTCAAGCAGCTCGCCCTGCCAGCTCGCTTGTCGAGACAATTTCCAGCTGGTGACCGTACCGGCTCAGGTGAGCGACAAACCGGCCTACCATCCGACCCGTACGCTATCGCAGCTGACGGCTCTGATCTGACCCGTTATCAAATATGATTCCTCCGGCCACGTCAGTTATTAGAGCCGACCGTCAGACCCGACCACTATCGCAACTGACGGCTACGATCTGGACCGTTATCAGAGATGACACCTCTGACCACGTCAGTTATCACAGCCGACCGTCACACCCGTCCGCTATCGCAACTGACGGCCCCAATCCGATGTGTTACCAGAGATGACAACTTCAACCTGTCTGCGTCACCCCTGCCCGTGATGGAAGCTGATCCCCCAGCTTGGGCCACGATCGGAACTGATTGCTCCGACTCTAACCGTACCGGAATGATCGTTCCGAAGTGAGCCGGCATCAGAGCTGACCGTTCGATGCAGTCCGTTCCGAAAACTGAACGTCTCAACCAGACCCGCGCGGAGTTACAGCTGATATTTCGCGCAGAGACAATTTGATAAATGCTATCTTAGGAAGAGTCTTGTTATAAGTATTTCGATGTCTAGACATAGCCGTTCGCTGTCTGCCGCTGTAGCCGGCTCCGAGCATGGTACGCGCCTTGCACGCTTGGAACTGTGATGATCCATCAATATACTTCCTATGCAGCTGCAGCTCCAGACGCGCATGGCGTGAGCATTCAGCGCTTGTGCATCTGTAGGTGAATTTTTTAAAAAGAATATGACTTTCACTTGTCAGTCATGTCCGTAGCTTTGTGAATTTGTGACTTCTGATTTTTACTGTCCACCAGAGAGCATAACAGTGAGAGGCCGTTGCGGGCGCTGATTGAGCTCTCCTTGCACCTCACATCCGACGCCCCCCCCCCTCCCCCGGTCCGCTAACGCCCATGCGTTATGAAAAGTGCAGCGCGGCTAATAGAAATCGAAGGACCGCATGACGCAACCACCCCTGACACGGCTACGGTGTCATCGGCAGATGCCAAAACCGCTGAGCAAGTGCTGTCGGTTGGAAGCGAGCGATGCAAGCGCAAATTCAAGCGGTTCATGTCGCTAGCGGAGAATTGTTGATGGCTGTAAAGTACGCCGACCTTCGTGGAGCTCACCCTCGGCTGGGCTAGGGAGGAATTGGTCCTCACCGTGACGTGTGCAGTTATCGATGAATTGTTACACAGTGCCTAGGCCAGTGCAAAGCGCGTGAGAGCTTCATTGTTGATGTTCCCGGAAGGCAAGGATGCAGCATTTCTTCCAATCCTTTACGCGGGTATGTTTACAATTGCTGGTTTCTTGCTACATAGAGACTTAAAGTGCAATTGAATAACAAGTGCGTTCACGGATCATCGATATACACGTCCGAGGCCATACGGCGCTAAACACACCCGACCGCTATAGTTGTCAAGAGTTGAGCGTACCTCTTGATAACCACGTACGGCGAAAAGTGGCGGTCATAGTTATGTCGTCGGCCACGTGACTAATTTCAGACGCGCAGCCACTTTGTGCTGCAGAGAAGGGTAGGGGTAGGGTGGCCGTGGGAGAACTCTTCAAAAGGCTTTGACGCACCATGAGATCTGATTGGAAAAAGACGAGCATTTCTTGTGAACATGAGAACCGGCGCGAGAAGAAAGTGAAGGGATGAAACAGACCTTAGCCGAGTTCTCCACTATGCAGTTTCTGTGCGAAACTTGACACATTTGTTAACATGGCAGTGCTTCAAGTACGGACATTGCGATCAATTAGAAAACAGCCAGTTTTTCAGCCGGCTTTTGCCGCTCTTGCCGCTCTTGCCTTCTACAAGGTTTCCATGCAGGTCACTAAGCCCCTACTCCTCGAGGCCCTTGAGTTCTCGAGGGGTGCGAAGACTTTATACTCCCAATTATGACCGCTTATTTTGAGGACAATATGCATTCAGAGCCCAATAAAGCCTAAGACTTGCTTCAGTCAAAATCACAATGTCGAAATGCTTTGGAGGTACCGAGGCCTGCTAACCAGACGTCCAAAGGCCTCCAGCACGTTTTATTTTACAAAACATGCATTTGGTTGGTTCTGAAGGCATAAAGACTCTCTTAAGATTCCTTTTAAAGACTCCTTTTGCCACAAATCACTAGACGCCAAGAAGGGCATTTTCACCAATGACCCTGGGCGGCGAATGGGACCCTTATCGCAGGAGGTACCAATCCCTAAGAGCCCTTAGAACGTGCGCTTATACATCCGATGGCATTTTTACCGTAAAAGTAAAGGCACAAGCGGCTGTTTGACAGGACCCAGAAGTTCGAGGTGATCCTTCCTGCTTTTGGATATCCATGTAAAATGCTTGATAATGGGTCCCAAAAGTCCAAGAACCTCTCTGACAGGGCTCTAAAGGAGCTCAAGAGGCCCCTTTGATAGATTCCTCAGAGATCCAAGGAATTCGACCGATCCAATCTGATGCAAGGAATCCGACCGATCCAATTCGATCCAAGGAATCCGACTGATCCAGTCCGGTCCAAGGAATCCGACTGATCCAATCCGCTCCAAGGAATCCGACCGATCCAGTCCGATCCAAGGAATCCGACTGATCCAACCCGATCTAAGGAATTCATAAGGCAGGAGCCTTTAGAGGCGCACAACCAAGGGCTCCCGCCTGCCAGGGCTCCTTGACCCAATTCGGCAGGCGGGTCCTAGAGATCCAAAGAACCTCTTTGGTCGGAGTGTTTCTTGGCATGGGTGTCGATTTCTCAGCATGATTGGAGGGGGCAAAGTCGTAGAGGTCACCGAAAAGGGACAGGTACGAAAAACTCCTGCGATATCATCTACTATGTCTGTTTATATATATATATATATATACATATATATACATATATATGCATGTATATATATATATATGTATATACATATATGCATGTATATATATATATGTATATATATATATATATACATCAACACTAATAACACATTTTGAAGGCTAAAATGTGCTTATCTACCGCGAGCACACATAGAAGCTGCAGTTTGCACCAGCTTTTACCTGTTCAGAGGTCAACCAGCCTCAAAATTATACAGCTGAAATGTACATCCCTGTCTAATCCTTGAATGCTACACATTAATCTTGAAAGACTTTCGCAAGGACTGTTTTTATAACGGCCTTTCTCGCGCTCCCGCCGTCTGGTGTTATCTGCAGTGGCCAACATTGCTCGGTTTGGTAGAAACTGCAGTCCCGCACATCGGTGTTCTTGCTCCTAAGATTGTAAGCGCATGCTCAAATTTTTTTACGTGATTTGTTTCACTAGGCGATTCTGGAAAAGGATTGACCCTCTCAGGCAACATGGCTTGCCCTATTTTCATGTCTTGCCTCATCTCGATTCACTCTTTTCAATAATTATGAGACCTTTGCCTTTTTCGGGCAGGGAGAAACTTGCTGTTAGTGTGCTTAATGTTCTTTTGTCTCTTTTGTCTCGATGATGTACGTTCTGGTGTTTTAACATTTTGAACAATGTCATCACATTTGTGTGCAATGTGTGGTGCGAGAACCCGATTCAGTTTCAATTTGTTTTCAATGCCATTGACATCCTTGAAAATTTTGCTGCTGTCGCTTGAAGTTGGTACAAGCTGCCGGTCACCTCACACTGACTTTGAACCACCTTTCTCTTGACTCAGACACTTCGCACTTTGGATGTGAACTGAACGGTGAAGTAATTGATGGCGAATCTGTCACATGTCACGGCCATTGGGCATCCACCACGGAGATGTCGTTTAGCGAAACAGATTTTGGGCGCTTGTCGGAGAAAATAGCTTCAGTTGCCCCTAGAACACACCACACACATATTTTATGAGGATTTTACCTACCTTTCTCTTAAAGTTTGGGAGCAGGAGTCTCACCTAGTTGTATACGTGCTTTTCAGACACGTTTTCTCGCTCTAGTCCCATGTGAAATGTTGTCTCGCCGGGGATAGCAATTATTATGTTGGACCTCGACGAACGAAACTAGGTTTCACTAACCGACATATATATTCTACGTGATTTAAAATGCTGCTGGACGCGTGCAATTAAAAAAGTAATGTGTAAGTTAACGTGCGCGACTATTAACACGCGCCTGGGTGTTCAGAGATGTTCCAATGGCCACATGACTAATGAAATGGCAGGTTTTTGGCCTCGGTCTGACCTCAATAGCTGACCCAGTGTCAATAGAATTAGTAGGTCTTTCGAATTGACTAATTTTCTAAGAAACTGTCACAGAGATGTCTGTTTCGCCTAACATCTCGTTGTCACACCAGATTAAAGGTATCCCTAGAAATTGTATTCGCTGACAGTCACGGTCTAACTTTGACCTGCTATATGCTCAGTGACCCTGCAAGATACGTATGTTTCATACCAAAAACATTGTTATTCAATTGCCTACAGGCATATAGAATCTGGCGCGGGTGCGCAGGGCCGTTCGGAAATAATTTCGCAAAACATTTCGGAGGTCAACTTGACCCTATACCCGAGCGCTTGTTGATGTTCCGATAACACGCGGTGGCGGAACCTCTCATTGGTCGCGCTTTGTCGCGGTAGTAAGAGATTGAAACATTCCTGACAACGCCAAATCGCCCAGGCAATAACCAAAACTAGGACCAAGATCAACAGGGCAGGTGAGTTGTGCAGTTCAACCATGCAGGATGTAGTAATGACAGAAAATGCTACAGTGCACATAGTTGGACGAGCTCCGTAAGCTGCTCTCAACTGACGCTGACATTGCAGTCTGCGCTTTCCTTGTTCCATTTGCCTGTGAACCATTGATAAGAAGCCTTCAAAATTAATCTAATTTGAGCTCTCACTTGTACTGTTCTGCTTCTGCTCAGGCTCCAAAAGCTTGGGGGCCAAACTCACCAAATTGGACTGGCGGGGGGGGGCAGTGACTCACTCAAAAGAATACGAATCGGCGCCCCTGCCGTTGGATGCGATGGATGTTTTTGGATGCACATGTTCCGCCGCTTTGCTTTCGTCTTGTGGCGCTGCAAAAGAAGGCAACTTGCTGCGGTCTGCACAATTGAAATATCACTGAAT